CTTGGGTGGCAGCAACGGTGGCGCTGGAACTTGAATCCGAAACTGGAGTTGTTTTGGTTGCGAAGAACCTGCGTATATCCATTTTTTTAGTCTTCTCCTGTCAGGTTTTGGCGGCTGGCAGACTCGACTTGTCTGAATTTGAGTGCTCAAAGTGCGCATGTGCGTGCAGCGTGTGAGGGCGCAGCAGCTGCACAGATCGTTTGTGTAGACTCATTTTTGAGTAATGTTCTGTCTCTGACAGCAGTACACATTGAGACAATATGTTTGTGGATTTAAATTTATTATGTTTATTGAGTTTGCATTTATTGATATAGCGTTCCAGAGTTATATTTATCTAGGCCACCTACTATCTGTACATCATAACTAAAAAAAAATTAAAAAAAGACTCCGGCCACCAGGGGGTGCCGGGCACCCCGGGAACCCCCCCAAACTTCGCCTATGGCCGGGCCCCGGCTTGTCCTGGAAAGAGTTGAGAGTGCCATACGCCCTTGAGCCTGGACCCAGCACATATCAGTAAGAGATTGTTGCGTTTTGTACACACACATCCTTATCAGGCTTTGGAGACTGCAGATGCTTTCTTGAAGGGAGGGGAGGTGGTTGACGTAGGCATGGTGATGAAGACGGGGGAGATGGTGCGCGTCTCTGCGGTGATTTTGGTGGGCGTCGTTGAGGAGCGGGGGTAAAGGTCATGCTGCCAACCCTGCGTATCGCCTTAGTTTGGTCTTTGAACTCCAGGAAGGAATTGGTGCCACCCCTCTGTATCTCCTTCGTGTGTTCAGCGATCTCCAGGAGGGTGGGCGAGGGTGAAAGGGTGAACGGAGAGTAGAGAGAGTTGTGGGATGAAGGAAGAGTATCCTCAGAGGTGATAAGGGGGGGTGAAGGGCGGTGGAGACTCCTCCATTTTTCTCCCATAATCAAGACATTCCTCAGGCGGGTGCAGTGATAGATTTTCAAGGTTTTCTGAGCGATGTGTTGTGTCTTTCTCTTGTTTTGATTCCTCTTGTTGCTTGTCCTTGGCAGGGGGGGAACAGATTGATGACGTAGGCAGTTGAATACGTTAGACATAAACAATTTCACTCCTGACTTGTTCAGGCAAACTCCATTGGCCTTAAAAAGATGTCTGCAGTCCAAGAAAAAGTTAAAGTTGTCAATAAAATTGACAGAATGGTCAAGTTGAAAGCCAGGTGTTCAGTGCAAACAATCTGCTGAATCTCTCCACTCCTCTTCTGACTGGCGGTAGAGGGCCACTGATGAACACCTCTGCATTTAGAGAGCTGACAGTTTCCAACAAACATTTAAAGTCTCTTTTTTTTAGCACTTCTGACTGTTGTTTCACAACATAAGTTTTATGACTTTCACCTGTTGCTGAGTCTTCAAGCACATACAAAAGAGCTGTGTGTCTCTATTTCATAACCATTTGTGCTAAATGCAGAGATAACATAGTGTTTTTGGCAAGCAGAAAATAAAATCATCTGAAAAGTATAAAAAACCTGATTTAGGTAATTACTGTTTCATACATGATTTTTCCATTCTTTAATTAACACGATTAGTTTTCAATGTCTTAACTAACAATAAGCAAAAACATTTTCCCTTCATTAATCCATTTAACTCCCCTTACATTAGATATGGCTAATTTAACAGGACTAGCCCTTTAAAGAAGTCCTATAATGGAACAGTCCATTTCACAAAAAATGGGGGAGTCAGTCACTGCTTCGTGAGATTTAGACATTTAAAGACAAAAACCTACATTATAAAGAAAAATGAACCATTAACTTTCAAATTCCTGTAACGCTTGAATGTCTCACTCTCTGAAAACAAACATTTAATGGTTTAATGTTTTCACAAAAAAGACGTCCCCCCCTTTAGGGCTTTTCTATTAATAGCATCAGCTGTTGCAATACAAAGATTAGCTATTCAACGTATTGTTTCGCAGATGTGGGGAGCACACTCCCGTCTGTGGCGAAAGGGCGGCGGTGGTTTGAAGCCGAGAAAGAGGGAGATGAGGAGGAATATGTCGGTGTGAGGACGTCTCTTTGTGCTCACGACAGCGAAACTCATATCGGTAAGTAGCTTTCCTGCTGACAGAGAGAAGGTCGTGAATGCGGGCGTCTGTATTCAGGGACAGTGAAGGCAACACCTAGCGTTAATGTAAAACTCCTCTCTGTGTATCAACCATTTACTCTCGGCTAGCTAACTGTCACCGGGGTTTTTGACTAATGACAGCGAGGTAAACAGTCAAGGGAAGTTAGCTTGTGTTAATTGAGAGTCTGAACGACTGAATTCAATTTGCGGAAATTCATTTTTGCTGCAAACTTCACGAAAAAAGATGAAGCAACCGAAATCAGTTATTCAGGGGCGGCTATTGTCGGTTCTCTAGACCGCCGCTCACACTCAGGACACGGGCCTTGCCTCTGTGTGTCAAAAATGTTCCCCGAAACAAAAACACACTGTCTCTTACCTTATGTGAGGGATATTCATGAAAGCTTCCATTGTATTTTTTAACCCCTCGGTGTTATGTTAGCAGCATATATACACATCGGTGTTCAGCTCTGAGGGAGAAACGTGTGCAGATTTAACCGCTGGACACACAGAGAACAGAGGGATTCTTCATGTATCAAATCATAGGATGAGATCATTCAGAAGCACCTCAGACACACACACACACACACACACACACACACACACACACACACACACACACACACTTTAATCACTATTTATAGCAAAGTGAAATCACTAGTTAATTTGGCTTTCATCATAACTTCATAGAGATCTTAATCCCTGCTGCTGATGGTGGTGATGATGATGATGTTAGCTGTAGAACATTTCCCCAAATCTTTCATTTTGACCTTTGACCAGGGAATTACCCTCTGGATGATTGGTGGAGCAAAGTTTCCCAGATATGCCATTCAGTGTATGCAAGGCTTGTATTACACATGAATGAATGATGGTTCCTACGAGATGCATGTTTATGGGGTTCTATGACACCTTTTGAGGTTTCTTGGCAAAAGTTTGGCATATAAAGTGTTGTGAATCAGACTTGTGTGGCCATCGGGTATTTAAAATATGAGTGTTAACAGGGAATGGAATGATAAGGTACTTTTATTCCATAATATTCCTATCCTAATTTGTCCAAATACTTTTTGTGGGTACAGGGATAGCGAGACAAAGGACAGCCAAAGGACAGCTAAGATAAAGTGTTTATTTCTCTTGCCTTCAAGTTTCACTACATGTTCAAATTGTATTCAAGGTCAGTCTTTGTCAAATCTAATTTCAGAAAACCTATATCACAAAACATGTTAAGCAAACTGTCTTTTCTGTTTCTGATTTGGCCCTAATATATATATTTTTTCAACAGATTGGATATGTCCTAGTTTCACAGTGGGTTAGGTTCTATATTCCTCATTTTTCTATCCAAAAAAAAACACTTGACATGGTGTCTTTTGCTTTGTAACGTGGACATTTAGGTTTGGAGTTTGCCTTAAGTTTTGACGCAGGTATCCTTTATGTAATTTAGCTTTCCAGCCAATTGATGTTGTCTTATTTTGTTTACCTGTAATCTGCCTCAAAATCACCCTGATGATTTCATCTCTTTTTGGACTCACTGGTGTCCTAGTAGTGTCAGCTCATTTATTCAAAACAATAGATTGTTTCATTATGTTACTTATTTCCTTGCATGGCAATATTATAGAAAACATAAAGGCCACTGTGTACTGTGTTGATTTATATACCTACACTACCGCTCTAATTAGTGTATTGATAATGTTATTTAGTTATTGAGCCCTGCTTGACTGCTTTCAGTGGTTTCTAATGTGTATGAGAAATATAGTAGACTCCTAGTATGTGATTGTTTTCGTTTGAATTCATAAAGATTGAATGAAAAAGTGTTTTGCAGTTAAAATACAGATCGGTCCAATTACAGTAAGAAGGACTCCACCATTCATTCACATCCTGTATCCTTGTTGAAATGTCCAAACATCCAGAAAAAGAGTGAATAATTAGAGTGGATAAATGGAAAGGTCAGAGTAGGAACTGCCCCCAGCAAGTCACATTACATAAGTGAGTTATTTGGTTTGTGTGTATGAATGGCAGCCTTATCTACAGGGAATGTTCAAAAATGGCAAAGTGTTATAAAAAAAGACATAAAAGTAATTTATGGCTCAATGAGTTCTCAAATAATGCTGAGAGAGTCAAGTTAGTCATTGGTGATGACCCACAGTCATGTGATCAGCTGCACAGACCTCTGTTAGGCTGCGTGCACTTTGTTCTCTCTGAATGTTGCAAAGGGTCTTACAGATCGGGGAATAGAGTGGTTGAGGAATGAGTCCTAAACACGTGAATGTGTTAGCATTAGCACTACCAGGCTTTCTAGTCTCTCAGTCATTTTTTTTGGGTTGGATTCCTAAAATAAGGTGTGTGGTTAATACAAGTTTACGAGATTTTCACATTTTGTTATGACATAAAGTACATCAGAAAATACCACCCTGATGAACATGTGGAGCTTTTGTGTGTCTTAAAAACTGCGGTTACTGTCACGTGACTAAATGAGACTTCTAAACGTCATCACTCCGTACGTTAGCCGTCTTTAGCTTAGCGGTGTTGACGTGAAGCCATGCGACTCTGATGTTATACGTTTCTAGCCTAACATTAGCTAGCATTTCCACTTGAATGATCTTATAAGTGGTGTCAATACTGTATGTGGAGATTATCCTGCTGAACAAAACGTGTAAGTATCATAATCATAAGTGTGTGTTCAACACAGATCCTAATTTCTGCAATATTCCAAAATCGAATGGAAAAATCCCATGGCTTTTAGTCAGATGAGCCATTGCCATGCTAACTTCTAGGCGGCTCTACAAAAATAAGTCATATCTACACCACTATAATGTCTGTCACTATGGGAGAAAATAGGATGAGGGGGCAAGCTAATATAGTTATCCCATTGTCTGAAATAGACCACATCATTCAGTTCTGAGCAAATAAGTTGTTCAAATTAGACCTGAAATAAGGCTGGGTGAAAAATCAATTCTAACATTATAGACCAAATCTTGGGTTTACCATCGATGCTTTCACAAAATAGTTATATAAATGATAAATAATAAATCAGTAATATGGATTTAATAACAGAGCGTACAAAGGCAAATAAGAGAAGAGATAGAACAGTCTAAATCCAGAAACATGACTTTACTGTAATGCAGCTGTTAAAACCAGAACAATTAACACTTATAATGCATCAGAATCGTATCAATATCACAAAATGGACTAGTACAATATCCAAATTGCAGTGAGTGAAATATTTGGTAAAAGCACAACATGTTATCACACAGTATCATAGCCTACTGCTGCTAAAATAACCATCAGTTTGAAACACTTCTTGGTAAGGAAGTTTGCATCTTACTTATGCTACGTTCACCGGACGCGATGCGAATATTCGCTTCGCTCTAATCGCTCAAGTTTCACCGCGAATTGCAGTTTGTTTTATCGCGTCATTCAAAACAGACATACCGTTGACGCGCCGCGCCGCGCCGCACCGTTGACGGACAGTTGTTTACACTTCCATGCAAGATCGTTTTGGTTATTTCTGTCGTTGACTATGGAGGATATAACAATTATTGCTGCTTTGTACCTTCTGTGGAAGTCCTACAAACGCAGCAACAAACGCCGCTCTGTCTGGGTTCACAATGTAATCAAGCGTCACACACAGTTTGGTGAATATCATTGTTTGATCAAGGAACTGCCGTTTCCAGCGGTATTTTAGGATGACCTGTGTCCAGTTTGATGATCTTCTAGCTCGGGTTGGTGTCAGGATTTCCCGGATGGACACAAACTACAGGCGTTCCCTCTCAGCTGCGGAGCGCCTGTCAATACAGGGCTCAAAGCTAACTTTTAAAAGTGGTTGCCAGGCTGGCAACCAGGCATCAGCTTTTGGTTGCCAACACTGAAAATACGGTTGCCATTTTTAGACACCTTATATTTTAAATAATTAAGATACTATACAATACATCAACTTAATAATGAACATGTGACACAAAAGAACGTTCAAATGCTTTACAATAAGTAATTAACACAATTATTTGAAACTAAAGTGGTAGTAAACTTGTCCACCCTCAATTGCTGGTATACCAGTAGTGCAGCTGTTGTTCTTCACAGATCCCTCACAAATGAATTGAGCAAGTCACTAGTTTCTTGGTCATCCGTATCCCCACCATAGATCCACTGGTCCTTCAGCATTGAAGTCTTGGATTGGCCAGACTAATACATGTCTAATGTTAAATAAATGAAAACCATTCACAGATAATAATTAGATATTAATTATTAATGGTGTTTCACCTGTGTCTCACTCGTACCAGGGCTCAACGCTAACTTTTAAAAGTGGTTGCCAGGCTGATTATATTTGTATGCCAATATTTTCCTACGGTAAAGTATCGTTTAGCACTTTTATTTTGGTAGTAATAAGATCGGGACTCTTATTTTGAAGGAACTTTTACCGGAAGTGAATGCACAAAAGAGCGGAATGTACATATATATTTCGCCTCCCAAGACTTTACACATTTCCTCTTTGCTTTCGTTCGGGTTCATCTTGCGCTTTATCAGTTGAATCACTTTGAACATTCGTTTGAGATGTTGACGGGTTGGCCGAAATTTTTACCCCACAGTCAAACAATTTAATTTGCTTCGCCATTTGTTGTAAAACAAACACACAGCGCACCGCGCACGCGAGTAAACGTGCATCGCTTTCTGGCTCCGTAATCACACCAATGCACGTGTAACTTAAGTATTAGGTTCCGACTGGTCACAACAATAATTAAATATCACTCTTAATACAACAAATATTTAACATTTATCTCATTTGGGGTGCACATTTAGCTGTTTGCTGTCCTTATTTCACTGCTACTGATGGCAACCAAAGGCCAATAAGTGGTTGAAATTGTTTCTGAATGGTTGCCAATGGCAACCTGGCAACCGTTACTGTCGAGCCCTGCAATATGTCTCCGGTAAGTAAGGATCAACAGCAGGACATCAGAGGGACGTAGAGGGAATCCCAACGCTGATTGGCTTCCG